ATGGAAGACATAACCTTAATTGATACATTAGTGTTTGGTAGAATAAAAAATTAACATGAAAAAGAAAGCATACATAATGAAGTCAAGTTCTTGGTATGGCATAGTGACATACAATTTTTTTTACTCTTTTCATCATTATAATTCATCACCAGGTGGTCCACATGAAGAAGGGGCAATATGAGTGAAAGAAGTTTCAGATACAGATGTGGAAGACAAAGCAGAAAACTATTCTGAAGAGTGAATATCAAGATTAAATATTTCGAGTGAAGGTGAGGGGTTCTCATGAAAAATGAACATGCACAAAAATGATAGGTAGTGATTATATCCTGCTTTAAATTTCTATCCACAGAAGCCCTAATAGCACAGCCAACCACCTAGCGTACATTAGAATAAAGCATACATATGTTATGTGTCACTGAGCCAACTTTCTGTGTTAGTGGAAAGGACATAGTTTTTAAAGTTTCACATATGTACTACTAGGATTCAAGGTGAATAGTTGGCAGTGAGGGATTTTCCTTAAGAATGAAACTCTGTGATGCCTCCAATTCTTCATATTGCTAATTAAATATTACTGCCTAGAATGGGCTATGCACATGTGATATATATGTGTGTGTGTGTGTGTAGGCACGCACGCGCCTACATTTAATATAAAATGGATTACTAAAAAAGTTTTGAAAGGGGAACTTTTCTGACTTTCATGAAGTTTGAGGAGGAGATAAGAAAATATTAACATGGACCTTACAGATACAGGTATACATATATCACTCTGTACTGGTTTTTATTCCGGTGTGTTTTTTAAATACCCTTGTTTGTATAGAAAGTTGCATAATAAAACCAATTAAATTTCCAAGCTTCTTATAAAAGCATTAGATGAAATCTGATCAATTAAAAATATTTTATTATTTACTGGAATCTATTTTTCATAGTAAAAGTTAATTTGCAATATCTATCATAAATGTCACTGCTGTTATTATTTGAGACAAAGCAGAATATACTAATTTTAATATTTCCTAATATAGATAAGTCATGTTCCATATGGATCAAAACTGTGAGATTACTGGCAGTTAACTTCACTGTTTTCTAAAATTGTACATTAATTTTAATGGTGTGAGCTAAGTTGCAGTTACATTATCGGAAGTGTCATGTCACCATCAAATTTAAGTCACATATATATTTACATGTTACAGTAAATTACATCTGTTACTTACAACACATTCATATCAGTTTATATATATTTACAAATAAACAAGCTTCACTTTATATAAACAAGTTCTGTTTCAGCTAACAAACCAACACTTACTACCTTTCCATGTGGTGAATTACTTCTGCTCCCTGCACATGGCCAACAAATTCTAGCATAAAAGTCTTTTATTTACATATGTCCAATGTCAATGTATGGACCTACAGTTTATCCATTACAAAATAAAAATACATTTTCTCTTTGAAACAAGATGGAAACTTGTTTGTTGTTGGCACATCTGTTAAATGACAAACATTTTCATTTCATTGCAATATGGATAATTTAGAACATATTTGAAGAACACAAAATGAGAGAGAATATGCAGTAATGTGGACACATACGATTGTACACAGACCTTCATGCTGCCACGCTTTTAGGTGTTTTCGCAACCCTGCAGAAAGCCTATTAAAAACTACTCCAGCCATCCCTCCTTATACATGAAACAACTCAAGATTGGAAAACCCAATTTCTTTATTAAATTTTATAATGAACAATATTTCAGAAAGCTGTTAAGGCATGTCAACTTTCTTTTACTTCTGACAATTTTTATATTCACTTTACATAAAAGCTTAAGATTATTCTGGCACGAAGTTATAACAGTTGATTCTACATTGCACTAGATGTCTGCACTGGCCAAAATTTTTAAGTTTTACCTGACTCGAGGAACCATTACGCCCTACGTAGCCCGAACCTTAAGTTTATCTTCTAATATGTTACCTGTACCCCATCTAAGCCCTACTTCCTTTTATTCCAGCCCAAAAATTTACAATCTGCCCTATCACATGATTAGTACATTTCTTTAATGCATAAATGCCAGTAATCCTTGAATTAACTAATTTACAACACTCTAAAAACATCTCAGGTTATTTTGGCATTTTAGAAACAGTACAAACATGCCAGTTGCCAGGTTGTAAGGTGTTATCTCAAACTACAATATTTCTGGGAGGTGGGCAGCTACAAACCCCAAGAAAATCAAGGTGGTGCAATTTGTTTCCAGAGGTTGAGCAACAACCAAGAAGGATTTGAGGTTTTCATGGTGCCAAGTATGAAGATTGCTGTCTGCTGGGTTGTAGCATCATGTAGTCTGGTAGAAGTTTACCCAACATTTCAGAGGTCCCTGGTTCCTACTAGTAACTTCTTCTTTGTGAAACTAGGTAGGGGTGAGTGATTAGCGTCATGCCCTGGCCATGCTTTACTCCGGAGAAAGGACCCCAGTACCCATCAAATGGGAGGCTGGGTAGACCCCAGAGCCGGTCTGGACACACAGGCTGGAAGAAAAATCCTCTGCCCCTGACAGGGATCGAACATCGGTCATCCAGTCTATAGCCAGTCACTATACTGATTGAGGTACCCCAGCAAACATTGTTCCACAGACATACTTCAAATGGCATAGGCCAAGTGTTTAAATAAAAAAGAGCCTATGTAATAACAGGAACTTAAAGTAACTGGTGTATGTGGCACTACCCAAGTCTTGGGAGGGTCTGATCAGGGTACTAAAATGCCGAGGTCTCCCGAGTTAAACACGTAACCTCTCCCAATGACCCACGGACTGGATATGTGACTTGGGTCTATAGGGAGGTCTTGATTATAGGTACCAATAAGCTGAGAAGAAAATTATAAAATCTTACTCTGCAGAATGCTGTACTTCATGAAAGTTACCGGGCTGCTTGCAGATTAAGTAAACAGGGATGCACAAAGATTATAAATGGTCGCGGTGCATCGGTTAGGCGCCCACCCAATTCACTACCTACTTACTTACATACATACACACACAATGTGAAACAATAATGGCTCGAGAAAGCCGGAAATATTCCATATGTTTGACTTGTAACGCCTGAACTTGGCCTAGACCAGGGGTCGGCAAACTAAGGTCCGCTGGCCCAATCCGGCCCGCCGCTTCTTTTTGTATGGTCCGCGAGCTAAGAACGGATTTTACATATTTAAATTCTTTGAAATTTCAAAGTACGCGCCGAGTTGAGTAGTTGAGAAAAAGACCGTATGTGGCGCTCCTATAGCTTCCCATTCGCACGCTGCTTTGCGGCCTTCGCTGTGGCATCACGCATTTATAATTCGCAGCGTTTCCATTGCCATATGTATCGCTGTTCTGTAACATTCTATTCTCATGTTATTACCCTTGAGATGATTACGGTCAATTAAAATCATATGATCGGGGATTTATATCTGTATTTGGAAGCACCTACCTGTGTGAAAAGACATTTTCAAAGATGAAATATGTAAAATCTCAATACAGGTCAGCATTAACGGATGAACATTTACAATCAATTTTGATGATAGGGAGTACTGAATTTAAACCTAAGTTTGGTGAAATGTTATCTCATAACAGGCACTTCCATTCTTCTCATTAGTAGAGCTGTATTTCAAACAATTGTAGTCTACTTATTATTATACGTTACATTTGGTTCAATAAATTTGTTAAAACTTGGTTTCTTCTTGTTACGTAAGTAGACTTACCTATATAAATATCCTCGGGTTTGCCTCTTGGCCCGCAGAGCCTAAAATATTGACTATTTGGCCCTTTAGAAAAAATGTTTGCCGACCCCTGGCCTAGACCCATACATTAGCTGTGCTACCAGGATCAGGCACCGCCCTTGGGCCTAGGCCCATACCCAGCTGGATTCTATATTGCTCATCAACATATTTACTTCCCACTGAACTGATTGACGAAAGCTACATACCTCAATAAACTAAGAAGATATTTCCGGTATTCAAATACAAAGTTTGCACAAGCACGTCCCTCTTCCCTGAGCAAGATGTACAGTGTGAACAATTCATCCTCGTTGACCGTTACAAACACCTCGTGTCACCCACGGAAAGCTTTGTCCTTGGCAGTGTGGGCGGACGTTGTGGGGAAACATATAGACTTTATCAAAAACATTTGGCTCTAACTCCGCATAGCGTAGCGGTTTAACAAATACGTTTCAACTGTTAGTCGTTTGTTGTTTCCTTTCTCTTAAATCTGGAATTTTTATCTGCTAACTTGCAGCCTAATCCAGCGGATATGCTAGCTGAGAATCTGATTTTGTATCTCCAAATGACATCGCCTGGTCCATTTCGTCTCCATAACATTTGTCTTCATTTGGACTTGATAATTGTCTTCACGTGGTGACAGTGATGTTTCCAATCATCTTCACTCAAGATATTCGCACACCCACATAGCCCCGGCAAGTTCAATTGGACCTGAAATTTTGCTAGTTTACAGACATTTTAGTAATAACTGAACACAAAATTCTAGCTCAATAGGGATGAGTGGTGAGCGTCACGCCCCGGCCGCGTTTTACCCGATACCTATTGGACAGGAGGCTGGATGGTCTCCAGAGCCGGTCTGGACGCAGAGGGCAGAGGAAAAATGTGCTGTACCTGGGCTATGCCATTCATCCCCCCTGAAATATTAGTAAACTTATACCAGATTATGTGGAGCAACAAGTCAGAAGACTCATCTTTGTAGTATTCAAGTTGAGAAAAAATTGTCCTTGTGCGTGCGTTAATTTTATATAATTTTTTGTTTGTGATATAAACTGCCACTCATTGCCCTGATGATGGAGGCAACAAGCACCTCTGAAATGTTGGTAATTTCTACCAGACTACACAGCAAATGGAGTTTGGGGGTGTGGACTAGATTCATCTGGCTCTTGTTAACATGGTAATGACCTTTTAGGTTGGAAATGGAAAGGTACCCATAATGCTAAAAGGACTGGAAGGGGAGGGGGTACAAATCACAGGCTTTGTTTACCAACAAAAATTTTCAATCACCAATGGATTGTATTTATTACTAGAAAATGTGAAATTGACATAAATACAACACTGAATAATCTGCCACTGCTCACAGGCAAGTAGACAAATATACTTGTCAATCCCGACCGTGCATACAGAATAAAAACAAATGACTGGAATGTAATCAAATAGCCATCATTTTGTCACACTGCCTGCATTTACCCTGAATTCTTGTTTCATCAGTCTTACTCTACTAACATATAAGTTGGGGTGGACAAACTTTGACATACTATGAGCTCTGAAGTGGAGATCAGAATGCACTCTTAACACTCTGTATCTTTCCTTTTTATATATTTCTTTGGGGAGTGATCAGTAATGTATGGCATGAAAGCTGATATACTATGGAACACAAAGCTTCCAATTCTGTTATATATATATGTATGTGTTCCTGCAGGACACGCTATTATGCTGTCACAGTTGTCATAATGTTTTCACAGTTACATTTAAATAATATCTTGCTCTAGATAGCCTGTAACAAAATATTCAGTTACTGTACACACAATTTTGTTGATACTGAGTTCATTTTGTTCTTTCACTACTTCTGGGATGGTTCATGGGTGTGTTAGACAGAGGTTTTAGTGAAAATACCTGAGTGACTGGTGTGTGGAATGTACAATAACAACCCAGCTGATCTCATTATTCAGCTTCCTTTAAAGCATTTCTACTGTGCTGTGTGTTGAAGAAAGGATACCTATTTTGTCGAGTCTATCAGAAAAAGCTAATCCTTTCTGCAGGCTTAGTTGTATTAGCAATATCATAATGGCAAGTTCCACCTCTATTTATCAGATCCAGGACAGCCAACTTCAAAGGGCAAAATGCTCCTTGAGAAACTTACAGCAGTGAAAATGGTGAAGAAAGTAATTCCCACCTTTTTTGAAATGTAGAGTTCCATTACTGTACATGTAACAGTCTGACACACTTCCTTTTCCTCAGCCACACAAATCAAGTCTTTAAGATCACATCCTATCTCTTTAACATTCAGTTTAATATTACCCTCCCTTTCCTAAAATTCTGTACTCATTTCTCATCTCTCTCAAGTATGTCACATGATCATCTTATCCTGATAGATTTGTTCATCCTAAATTATGAAGACCCTCATTCTACAGTTGCCTCCAAACCCGCTAGTACTATGTTCACCCGTTCTCAAACACCTTCAGTGTTATGGACTATTTTTATGTAACGGATCACACAGAGTACGTATACTTACTTCATACTGGAAGACTGAGACAAATTCAGCCTCTGTTCAACATCATGTAACTGCTTATGTAAAAAATGGGCAATGCCCAAATAAAATACTTTGGTACAGGTATTTTATGAGCAATTGGTACCTTATATTCCTCATGAAATTCCACATACATCTTGTACATAAAGATTGTCGTCATAAGAACCAGGAATTGGACCCTGTCCTGAACTCACACTTAAAAACTGATTTCCATTAGTTCCAGTTTAACATTTGCTCAAATCTATGTCGTTCTCTGCCATTTGGTCTCTTTCCATTACTTTTTACAACAAAAATTTAATACAAACATTAGATTTCCCATTCTTTTTTTGCATGTCCTCTAAAATATCAACATCTGTTTAATAGTCCTAATGACACTGTGAACAGTTGTAGTTATAAATATTTTTGATATACACTCTGAGAAACTGAAGGTTCACCTCTGCTATCATAAAATCCTGTCATTTTAACAATATCCTCCAACACTTTCCAGTTTCCATACCAAAATCTCCTTGATCTGACATGACTTTACCCTCTCAATCTCTTATCTAAACAAAAGGGAGATTGGAATAGCGTACTTGAATTTGGTGTATGGACAATTTTCCAATGCAGTCTTTTGAATTTTGCACACTTCAATGGCCTTGATGATGGCGTACTGCAGACACCAATTTAGCGTTGTGAAACTAAATCTCGCTACAGATATCATACTGAATGGAAAGGATGTTTTAATAAAGTTGCTAAACTCAATGAGATTTATTTCATGTTTAGAATAGAATTACTGGATATTCTGATTTTGAGAAATATAAGTTTTATATGATGGAAGGTAGTGGTTTATATTTGTCCAATATAAACTGAAATTAAATCATCCAAATACCAGGTTTGACAAAGTTGGTTGAATACTTTTGTTATCAAACATTCATTTGGGTTCATGAACAGACTAACACGCATTATTATGTACTAATCTTATGCACCTGTGTAAAGAACTTAAAATGTTACTTAAATCCATGGTTATAAACCCCGTTCTGCAGTTTAAACTATATCAGTATAGAAACCAACAGTATTACATTAACATTTTTGCTATTACATGCAATATCTTCAGAACTGTATGAGGGAATGTACTGGTGCTTTCACATTGTCTCTTCCTTTTAAGTACACCAACTCCATGATGACAAGGCACTCCAGAACTGTAGCTTGAAGCTGATTCACCAACTGACATGCAGCATTCAATGAACCTGCAATGGAAGGGTTTTGAAGCTACTGTTTTCCACAGCAGAAAAATGTACTGCAGCCAACTTGTGGCCTGTAAGTTATGGTAAGAATTTGCTAATACATTTCAAGGAAGACATGATAAAAGGCTACATCCTTACGAGTAGTACAACAATTTTTGTGTGTTAGTAATATTAATACACCGGTACACCCTAAAACCTACTCTGCTGACACCTCGTCTATTTGTTTTCAAAGAATGACTTATCCTTCCATCTTCTTCATCCTTTAAAGTTACTCTGAGAATATTCTCTACAATTTTTTTGCCTCCTATATAGAAGATGCGTGTCACCCATCATAACTTCAAGACCCTAATAACGTTCCACGTACAAATCTGAACCTCTATATATAACATTGTTCAATTTCTTCAGCCTCCCTAGGCCAAAGTATTTTCCAGAGGACTTAATTTTCAAATATTTCTAATTTATACAAAAGCAGTTGTAGCAGTATGATTGTTTTATATATAGAGGCCTATATGATTTTAAAAGAGACAGAATGAACTGATTAACAATATCAAAATCTCGTGGATCATTCCACATTAGGATAAGGGCTTCCAAAAACTTTTTTTTTTCATCCTTCATTACACTACACACAAATCCGACTTAAACACAGCACCTTACATACTTTCCATGAGTAATGTTTTGATATACTTCAGATGCAGCGCCATTAAAGACTAAGTAAGCATTCATGCTATATTCCTATCTACACTTACCTCCTGTTGCTAACAAATCATCTACTATGAGAACATTCTGACCACTGCCAAGACTCAAAGACTGAATTTCAAATATGTCCTGTTGAATAAAGATAAACAACAAAAGTATGAGTTAGCAAATATAAAAAACCAGTAAATTTTTTAAATTACAGAATTTAGAAGAACTTTAAACTACTCTGACCTTGTATTTGGATTAATTTATAATGCACTCCACTTGTAATGAAATGGTATGGACTAGGTATGATAATAACACAGTCTGATTAAAGGTACTCTCCCAGTATCCACCTGGAATGACATAAAAACTGCAAAATGTCTCTTCTGGGATGGCTCTTGCCCCATATCATAATCAAAGCATAGACTCCCAAATATAAGTCAGACTCATTATCACTAGGTGAAAATGCTTCATACATTTCCTTGAATAAGCTTAGGAATAACAGTTTTAACCCTTTGTATATGTGTGTATGAAAGTAATTTCAGGTCCTGTAAACAACAAAGTGTACCTGCTGAGTGCAAAAATGTCGATGCAACTATTTTAGGCAAAGTTCATAGTTTTGTATTCTCTTGGACATGATATTTATAATGGGCATTACAGCTAGAAAGATAAAAAAATGTAAGTCTGCATCAGAAAGGTACTTAACTTCCTCTGTATTCATGATTTTCATATATATTATTGACTTAAAACAGGATAGCAAACCTTCTTATTTTATCTAAGGTGTCTGTGTATGAACAGCTAACTTGGTATCATGTATTGAATCCATAAAACTGGATAATTATAAGATAAAACAGTAATTAACTGCTTGAACTCACTGTGCCATATTCGAGGGCAAAAGAGACCCGAGTTACATCTCCTGGGAGTTTTCCCCTTTTTCTTATTGGAATGAATGGTATATGAAAATGAAGTGCTAGTAGTGGCCCAAGTAAGAAGCCTCTTGAATCCAGGGCTACTATAACTTCAGGCTTTGGTGTCAACTGCGACGACACATGCTCAATCATTACATCTTGCAATGCATGGAATGCTCTCGGATTTCTCAGCACTGAAAACAGGTCCCTGAAAATCACATGGTAATTTGTTAGGATGTAATCTTATGCTATGTATTACTGTGGCTGTAATAACAAATCTATCTAACCATATTTAAAAAAAATCATTTACAATGCAGTGAATATAAATTAAAATATGATCCGAGTTCCTACCTGAATAATATTCCAGGCTTTGGAAAGTCTGGATAACTGTCGATGTGATTCTTAACGAACTCTAGCTTCTCCTTATGTTCTTCCATTGTTATTGACGTAAGAACACGAATTAGTGCCGTAATTGCTTTATTTCATGGCACCATGCACTGATAATTAATTAGAAACTACTGGTACATTTCTTAACGGTTTTATTGTCTTCCACCACCTTTCCTTTTATCTCGCCATACCGCAGATCCTTCGATAACAATTCATGTTATTTTTTAGTCAAAGTTTACCCCAAATACAAGGCTTACCGACCAGGAATAGCCGACTATGAAAGAAACCCGTTTTGGCTCAAAGTTTAATTCCCTGAGGATCATATATTTCTTCTCACAGAGATATCAAATGAAGACGGAGCTTATTTTAATCCAGTAAAGAACTGCCAAACCAATTGTGAGGCTCAACACAACTCTCCAGAACCAGCTTTCTATCAACGGACCACGAAACGAAGATAATTCGTCAGCAATCATGTAAGAAACAATCTCTATTTCACATCGCCAGAGTGCAGTGTACACCCTCAAACAGGATTTTCATGGCGGCAAGTATTTGAATAACTACGGGGCTGCTGCTTCCGTGATGATGGAGGCAGCAGGCACCTCTAAAACGCCGTATCAACCCAGAAGACAATCATCGTTATCTGCTAACAATTTCAGTAGAATATTGAAGATATCTTACACGGCTCTGCGAACACTGCTTGTTGTTCATTTGTATATTACTGACACTGTATCAAGAACTGAGATGTTGCAGCATATTGCTAAGAATTGTTAATGATGAAAATCAGTGTGATCGTATCGGTCATGGTTTACATGAAGGCACTACCCTTAATTGGCTTGAGAGATTCGCTGAGGAAGAATACGAAAATCTCGATTGGGATAGCTTCAATCCAGCGGCTTCCCCAACAAGCGAGAAGTATTAATGTAATACGAATCTGCGATTTACCTCCGACTAAAGGAGGACCTCCAGGGAGGCGGTCCGTCGTGTTGAAGGTACAAACGCAGTCGTATTTTATACATTGCATAGTAGGAGAGAAAAAGCGTTCCACATTTCAGCCGTGCAGTAAAAACATCCCCAATTATTGCTTCTTTTGTAGACGGATCGGTCGTGGTGATATGTAGCATTGGCCAACCTGATCTCTGACCTCAACCCCCTGGATGCATTTCATCTGTGGAAGTACATAAAAGATTTGGTGAGATTTGTGTGAATACAAGACACATTTTGGATGCTGCAAGCCTAAAAGACTTCGCGAGCTACATGCCCGTTTCCGTGCGTTGAGCTTTCGTTCTATAACATAATTAGCCCGAGCTTTGACACATTAGCGTTTTACGAAAGTCATAACTGAAAATGAGGCAGTTCTATTCGTAGCTTGTTGTAAAATTAATAAAAGTTGAATGCTGTGCTCTGGTCCTGTCTCATTCGTCAAAACGTTTGTATTTGCTTACAAGTTCGCACGGTAAAGACCAACAGTAAGATATGTTTTTGCCGCATGTTTTCACAAAAACATTTGAGTGGAATGCTAACCTGGAACGACGACAAGTTTAAATTTCTATAACGGTTCTAAATTCTGTCGATAGATGGCGGGACGTGAAGTTGCTTGTCTGTGGTAGTGCTGCACTCTGTCGAATGTCATCGCATCATTTCTAATTTGCCTACCCCGAGTAGCTCAGAAGGCCATTTATTTAAGAAGGAAATGCTAAAATTGTAGAAGTTATTCACATTGAATTCGAGAGACCTGTACGTTGAATTTATGAACTGAGACCACGTTGCGAATAAATATCATTATTTAACGTGATTGTAGTTTTTTCATTGAACAATTCTACCTTTTGCTTGTTGTGATTGGAAAATTGAAAGCTGAGTAACCATACTTCAGAGTGTACCTAAGAATGAAGCACCAATTTGCTTTCCGCTCATACCGCAAAGAAGGCAGATTAGAATTTCTCTTTTTCTTTTCTTTCAGGTTGTTACGTTAGTTCGCGCCATCCCGTTCGTGAAATGTGGCCATAAGCAGATGAAATGAATGGCTGCTCGTGGCTTGTAGCGTACTCGCTTGTGAGCATGTGCCCTGAGGCCCAAAAATTACGTGATATTGTGAATTTGGAGCAGCAGGCTGACAGCTGACGAGCGTGCAGCGAGCGCGCACGATTTAATGTTAATGACAAAGACCTTGCATCAGTTGGAGGTAGTGCGTCGACGCTAAAATAAAGAGCTGCTAAAAGTGAGCGTGCCATGTTGGAGTACGAGGGGCCTTCATTGATCAGCTAGCAGCTGGGAGCTGGCTGGCAGGGTACGGTGAGTGCTCCGTGTGTGTGTGTCCAGTGATGTGATATCCCCCGTGAAGAAACGGTGGCATAGCAGTGTATAATGGTGGCGTGTGGCGAGGGAGGAAGATGTCCCGCGATCAGTACGGGGCCCCCAATCTGAGCAGTGCAGGCGGGAACCGGTCGCCCCGTAGTAGCAGGCGAGGAGTCGGGGAGTTGCCGACCGTGGACCGATCCCCGTCTCGCAGTTACCCCAGTCCGCTCGGCCGCAAGGGCGGAAGACCCAGCCGCTCTGGCAACACCTCCCCGGACCAGCATGCCGCTTATCCTTCGTACGGTCATATGGGGTCCCCATACTACGGGCGCGAGGACGATCTAGGGAGCCCTGTAATGATGGACGAACGGGGGCGCTCCACAGGGACAGGTGGCGGACACCACCGGTCGCGAAGTGCCAACCGGCCCGCCATGAGCACCACGAACCCCATGTCCACGCGCTACCAGTCCTTGGATCGAGCCCCCGGCATGATGGGGGAAGGGCATGATCGCGAGTTCATGCCCATCAGAGAGCCACGGGAACGATCCTTGGACCGCAGTGCGGGGCGCGGTGACAGGTTTCTGGAGGATGAGCTGTACGGCTCCAGGTCGGCGAGACAGTCGCCCAACCCGCATATGATGGCGTCAGGAGTGAGGGACACAAGTGGCATGTACATCGACGAGCTGCAGGCGAAAAACAACGACCTGCAACGCGAACTCGCGAACTTCAAGAAGGAGCTGGAACTCACCAACCAGAAGCTGGGTTCCAGCATGCACAGCATCAAGACCTTCTGGAGCCCCGAGCTCAAGAAGGAACGAGCCCTGCGCAAGGAGGAGTCCGCCAAGTACAGCCTCATCAACGACCAACTGAAGCTACTGAATTCAGAGAACCAGGTATGGCCGATCAACTGCCGTTTGTTCTCGAAAAATAGACGTTTTTTGGTCTATTATTTCTTTTTTCTGGGGGGCAATAACTAAAACCAGGTCTCAGCTCAGAAGTCGAAGCAGGCGTTTTCACGGGCGGAAAGGCCTATAGCTGTGACACGGTTAAGGTGACTGATTTGGATTTTAGTGAAAGGATTAGTTTTTGCCATAACTAAAGAGTAGATTGTAATGTATTTGTATTAATTGATCTGAGAAGATAAAATTGAAAAACAAAATCTTTCCGTAGAACAAAAATGCGTACGCTCCAGGATGTTCCTTTGTACTCTAATCTGTTTATGGAGGTGCCTCGATTCTGCTTCACCATCTGTAGACTGGAGTAGTTGATACTACGTGTTAAACAGCTTAGGAATTAATTCCAAACTTACATATCGAAATAATGACGATTTCCTTCCCGAAAAACTGCACAAATGAACAGAACATTCAGGAAGATCATTGCCAATTAAGTGATATAAAGACGAGAATTTATTTTTATTTTGAAAATTTATGTATTAATACATTTTATACCTACTATTTTTATCCTATGTACACATTTCGTAAGAGCTGAGCCATGCGTTGTTTTAACATTTAATTTGAAGTCATTTTGTAATTATTTTGGTTTCATTGGTAATTTGAAAGGGTGACAGGTGGTTGTTTCTGCTTTGTTGCCTTGATCCATTAGCATACGACGTTGTTTTCACGTGACGCCTGAAGATTGACAGTTATAATAAGGGCCACAAAATGTATTTTTATAGTGTGAGCGGAATTAAATTTTCTGTGTGTTCACATGTTCGATTCCCGTTGCTGATGACGGTTATTAAAAAGCTTTTAGATTTTGAAAATTTGAAGCAACACACGAGAAACGTGAGGTCTTTATCGCAGCATTCTTTGAAAGAAACTCTCGTCGTGTCCGTCGTGTTGGCCATACAAGAGGGTGCTGTTTTCATCTGTCTTCTCGTGCGGGAAAGAGATTTTATCTTTTCCTTGCAAACATCGAGATTTCTCTCAGAAACCGAATGCTCTGATGTACGATATTGGACAAGAAGGGAAATAATTTTCTTTATATCTTAATTGCCGCGAGTACATTATTAGTTATAAGCGCGACATATTCCGTACCGTTTCAGACACCGTGTTCTTATTTCTTTAATACTACACACTCTTGGTTTACGATTATGGCTGTCTTCTGGGTTTTAGCGCCGTGTAGTCTGGTAGAGGTTTACCAACCTTTCAGATGTCCTTGCTGCCCCCATAATCAGTGTGATCTGTCTCTGAAACTTTGGTTAACTTCTACCAGACTACACGGCGCTACAAACCAGTAGTCAGCCATCTTCGTACTCACCGTCGTGAAAAGCTCATATCTTGCTTAGCTTTACGATTAACCAACCACACTATCATTTCAATCCCGTTACGCCCTTTAAACTGGTCACCAAGATTTAGTGACTCGAACTGCAAATTAATTTTAGATCATTATTCATCCGAAAATCAAGTAGTCTTCTGATCTTTGCCAATGATAATATTTTCTTTAGCGTGGTACTTACTGTAACATTGGTCTTCCTACTTCCGCTAGACCTGCTTAAGGCCGCCAACTGCCTTTAACTTGACCTATTATGAAGTATCTTTATATTTCTATATTCTAGGTTTTCCACTTTTCCAGGAATTTCTTCGCTGAAATTCAATCTGCTTTTCGTTTTACCAATCCAGGCTACATATATGACCATTTTAACACTGTAAATTCATTCTTTGGGGAGGAGAACATAAATCACAGGAGAAAAAAGTAAAATAAAATAAAAAGAAAGGACACCCCCCCCCCCCCCAAAAAAGAAATACTGGGACTGATTTTTCTAAATCCTCTCATAATTTATGTTTCTCATTTCTATAGCCTATTCATATAACCAAGGAGGCCGAAAGAGTGCCAGTAGATAGACTGAGAAGCAAGTATGGTATTACGGAATTCATAAAGACAATGAAAGCATGGACAGAAACCATGCAGTAGTGAGACGATATTTCTCTGAGAGCGGGCGGTCAGGGAGACGCGATCTTCTGCAAATTCCACTAGAACGTGCGTCTAATCGTACATAAAATT